CTTTATTCGCTCACTCATGCTTCCAGTTTAACATGGAGCGTGTGTGCGATAATTGTTATTCGTTGTATAAGGAGTACAAAGGTATGCATCAAGAAGTTTTTTATCAGGGAAATATAGAAGAAGATAAGCATTTAACGATTGTAAACTCTGATGGAGATAAAAATATTGATGATGGTTCAAACGATGAGGATTCAGGTTTAGGTTTTCGATTTAAGTTTATTCCTTATGACATTGTTTACAACCTCTGTAAAGATGACTTTGAAAAGTTTTGCTATAATGATTATATAAATATAAAGTGGTTGGACGCCAATTTCGTTTTTAAAAGTCCCTGTTTTCAGAGAAGTGTAGATAAATTTAATTCCAAATGCATTACACTTTTCAATGATTATATGTTTCACTTCGAAAAAAGAGAAACCTTTGGAGAGTTTTGCAAACGCAATCCTATTGCTGCTTCAATACTTCTTTCTTTTATTACTTTGGGTACGATAGTAATATTTTTAGTTTGGTTAAAAGGTTGTATTAATATAATATATTCCAACGAGGATGATGGGACGACAGGGTTAAGTTTTTCAACGTTAACTCACGATCTTTATTTGGCAACACAGCGGGATAGAAACTTTGCCTTAGAACTTCAACCAGACGGGAATACCGAGCTTAGAAGTTATGAAGCTCAACTTCCTCCAACAGAGCTCCCACCTTATGAAAAAGTTATTGAGCAAATAAACGAAGGTCTTCCACTTCAAGAAAGGATCACAAGCGAGAATAGTAGAGACGAGGGTACGGAGTATGAAGCTTTTAAGCATTCAGAAATGTCTCCTTTAACTGGAGATAATTTGGAAGGCTCTAGAGCAAGTGCTTGCGATGAAGATGTTTCCGGTGAGAGCAGTGCGATTGCCTCTATTCACATGGACATAAATCAGGATGGCTCTCTCAATTTACACCGATTTAGACGTTTCTTACAAATTTTTCGTAGCGGCCAAGTTCATATTGGAAATTATAACGAGATTGAAAGCACTCAGGAAGAAAATTTTATTAATTGTCCCAGGGAGGGAGGCTAACTATTCCATTATTAGAAAATAATAAATTGTACAGTGGGTCTCTAATTCTAATACCTTTCGTAACAATAACCATCATTTATTTTATATAAAATTCCTGTATCAAGTAATAACTAATTGACTGTCACTGAAACTTTTAAAATTATAGGTATTTGCTGAGTGAAAGCATTTTTTAAACCTCTTCACCTATATTGTTTAATCAATTTGTTAGAGTACTCATCACCAATGTTATTATTGAGTAACCAGATGGATTTGTTAGTGAGTGACTTTACCATGTAACATGGTAGTCCAATGTATGCACTTGCTTAAAAGCTCAGAAAACAGTCTAACTTCCATTGCAAAGGATGCAAAATTTTGTATATGGGCGTAAATTTTTACTATAAAATTCCCCTAATTTCTCGAGAACTTAAAAACTCGTGCTAAGTTTGTTTAAAAGTTTTCAAAATAGTAAAATTTTGTAAAAATAAAAATATTCTTGCTTTTTTGAAGTAAGCATTCTATGAAGGTATATATATAATATATTTTTTTCCTAAAGCTTTCATAAAATTTCTAAAAAAGATTAGTGAATCGCCTGTAATATACATTATCAGCACATAATGCTTCTAAAAACTTTCATATAACCTAAGTTAGCAAATTCTAGTACACCTAAAGACTGCTTTTTATAGTCTGTAAACCAAATTTTTTTTACTATTTAGAGTTTGCCTAGTTTATAATACAAAAGATTAACGTTGGAAATAATTATGTATGAATTTTATTAGAGGAATACAGATTTTATTATAAAATATTTATAACATATTTAACAGCTGACAAGATCCCACGTCTCATACCACTTCATTGCGTTTACATCTTTTTTAGTAAGTGGCCAAGCGTAGCAAAGTCCGGCAAAGTAGTAAAAATGGTAGGCATACAATAGAACTAAAGTGCCTATATTATAATAATAATAATAACAACAACAACAACAACAAACAACAACAACAACAACAACAACAACAACAATAATAATAATAATAATAATAATAATAATAATAATAATAATAATATAATAATAATAATAATAATATAAGTTCACCAAATATTACTGTTTGAAGTTTTCTAGTGAAAAAAGTGTAAAATAGGTGATTAATAACGCATGCGCTTCTATCAAAACGAACCAATGAAATCATAAATAATCGGTACTGCGCCAATCAAAAATTTTAACACTCACGCTATAATAGCAAAAAAGTGTGCAGGAAGATAATGATGTAAGAAAAGAGCTCTGTCCATTAAGAAGAAAGGAAAGTAATGCAAGCCATATACCAGCCAAACAATACCAGTAGCATGAAAAATCGTTTGGCTATCAAGATAATAATTTTAGTAGATACAATAATAATAATAATAAAAATAATTACCTTCTTCTGGTTAAATCAAATATTTTTCGCTTAGTACGAAGTTGATAATATAAAAATAGTATAATGTATGTTATTCCAGAAATTACAACTGTTGAAAATACTGAAGGGTTCCCAATAAGGTATATCTTTTCATAATAATACTAATAAATTGTCTGTAAAAAATTTTTCATTGAAAACCTGTCTGCATTCATTATATCGTGACCAATAGACAACGCCACTTTTCAAAACAGGCCAATCGGCTTTGGAGTTTATTGAGTTTTTGTTAATTATAAAATTTTTTTAAAAGTACCAGCATAAGACCGAAACTGATGAAAACCGTTTACAGTGTGGTGGGATTTATACATTACTATTTGAATATCGATTATATCTGTTTATTATTATAAAAATTCTTATTAGTTTAAGAAATTTTAATTGTGTTTCTAAAATAATATTTGTATTCGCTTGGACCAAAGAATGTCATATAGTTAGTTCTTAGTAAATATTATGTTTCTTTAAAAAGTCATTATTTTGATAATAAGTATCTAAACATCGAATATCTTTGCAACTTTTATGATGGCCTCACAAAAAAATATTAAGCCTTTCAATATATTTCAGAAAAGAATTTTATTTTGTTAATTAAAAATACCACTTTTATTTTTTACTTTAATAGATTTAAAAAACGTAAGTGCGCTTTAAAGAAATATATAAACAGCCTATATATACACACTAGAAGACTTATATGTGCTTGTAGGTACCTCTTAAGTTAGTAAAGTTTTAAGAATTAGTATATTTTAAACAAAAAACTTGACAAATCTATATTTTTTTTAAAAATAAAGCATCTCTTAATCTTTGTGAGCTACATTTGAATTAAAAGTTTTTTAATATTTTTTTGCGTTTTAGAACTTTTATGCTTGATTTTATTAAAAAATTAGTTTTTGTCAAATTTATTAGTAACTTTAAAAACATCTTCCACCAGACAAAAGCCTTTGTTAGTTACATAACAGAACTACGAATTCCTACTTACCTAAATTTTTTTAGAATAACAATAATTTCTAGTGGCTTTTATATCTAACTGTGCTAAATAAATTTAATAAACAATAATAATCATAGCTTTTTTATCATTTTAGATATTTGCTAATTAATATTTTTAAAAAAAAGAATACTCCCGGTGGCTTTAATAGTTATAATGGATTTTTACTTTTATATTATTATAAAGAAGAATGATTCTCGTTATCCTAAAATTTTTAATGGTTGCTTTAAAAAATAATTTTAAAACTAATTAGTTTGCTTTATAATTAATTTTTTAATAGCTTTCGCACTCTTATTTTGGCTATAAAATTCTTTTTAAGTGAAATATTATGCTTCTTACTTTTTTATAAAAATTATAATAATAAATTACTTTCTTGATAGTAATCACACTTTTTTTATCGCTATAATAATCCCTTTTGAGTTACTATTGCTACTATAAATAGTTTTTTCTTAAATTGATTTCTTGATAGCAGTCGCGCTATTCAATTTATTAATATATTATATATAAGTATAAATTTATAAAAACTATAATAAGTTGCTTTTATAATTTACTTTTGTTAATAGCTATCTCACTCTTTTTTTGCTGTAGTTATTTATTATAAGTAAATATTTTAACATGTAATAATTTGCATTGGAAATCTCTTAATAACAATTTTACTATTTCTGTTGGTATAATAATTCTGTATAAATTATTTTGCTTCTCATATATAATAAAAAAAAATTTTACTTTCTTTATAAATTACTTTCCTTCTGGCAATTGAACTCTTTTTTTTTGCTTTAATAAGTCTGCTCAAGTAAATATTAATTTCGTTGAAATATGCTTTATAGATTTTTTTCTTGCTAAATTTTAGCTATTACAATTCTGTATAAGTAAAAAATCTTACACTGAACGTCTTTAATCGCCTTTAATTAGTTCTTTAATATATTATGTAATCTTAAAAAAATTATACTTTTTTAAAATTATGAAAATACAACTTTGGTTTATAATTTCCAATATAAATATTGTTTATACTTTTTACTATAATAACTATGAAAACAAGTAATTGAAACTGAGTATAAACCGATGGAATTTAGAAATATTAAATTTTGGTTTAATGAAAAAGAGCGCGTAACCTCCTAAATAAATCTGACCAATCACAAGTAATATATATACTTGTATAAGTGAAGAGCCAGTAAGTATTTACGAGGTAAATTTGGGTTTTATTAAGTTATAAGTCACCCAATGGTCTTTCGTGCAGTATAAAATGTCAAATAATACAAGAAAAGAAAAATCATGTTCAGTAAATAGTAGTAATAATAATAAAAATTTATGAACAGCATGATTGCACCTTTAATCCGCGTGAGAAACCCACTTCTGTTAAGTATTGAAGGGATGTAGTGGTCACGTGGTAAGGGCTGTGCACGCAATTTCAAATTGGTAAACTTATAAATAAAGTACTTAATTATATCAAACTGATACCAAACTTCACTAACTGCAACCCTAAAAAAACCCGGCTAAATAGTAAAAACCCCAAAAAAAGTTTGTATTCCTTAAAATAGTATTGCCGTTTCAAAGCGCTTCCAGACTGCCCGCCAATAGAGCGCCTATATCACCAGGCAAGCCAAACGAAAGTGCATGACCTAAAGGCCACGTGCACATTATCCAAAGCTTTGTGACTAGTGGTGGAACCTAACATGCGCGCGTGTGATGGGATGTACATGAAAAACGCGGTGTTATTTTGTTAATGTAGCATATATAAAAATAATGTTTATAAAAAAAGCAATGTTTTCATTAGAGTAAATACCCTTTTATAAGTTATTTCTTTTATAGTAAAAAGAGATCTTTCAAGCTGTTATTTATCATTAAAAAAATTGATGAGTAACCCAACAAAAGCAAAAGCTAAAACTCTTACGGAAGGATAAAAGTTGCAGACAACCTCGCCTTGTTTAAGCCCCCAATCAGGTAAGGTTTTATCGGTGAGCTCAATAAAACAGCCTATCACATTATAGTTAGTTAAATGTTTTATTTTCAATTTTATTAATTAGAAAAAAAACCCAATAGAATTACTCAAAATTGATAACAGCTATTTTTTTTAGATCTTTATAATAATAATAATCACCCAATGAAACGTGTCGGAATCGAACTTTACTATGAGGTATAATTTTTTGTGTGCCGTTGGTTAAAATCTTATAGTATCCGTCAATTATAATCTGTTGCAGGAAAGTATAAATAGTGCCAAAAAATATAAGACCTCCCATTTGTGACCCGAACCGGGCAGGGCGTGGAGCTCATACATAAGGCCTTTTTGAGAGCTAGCTGCATAGAAATTACCGGAAGCCTTAAAAGCAATAATAAAAGTAATAAGTACTAATAGCAATTATAATAAAAGTAATAATAATACTGATAACCACTTCACTAGGGCGACGGCCTGCTTTCTTACTAACAGGAGGGTTATAATTACCACAGGCAAGCCCCTTTAATAATTAATAATAATAATAATAATAATAATAATAATAATAATAATAATAATAATAATAATAATAATAATAATAATAATAATAATAATAATAATAATATAATAATAAAATTAATAATAATAATAATAATAATTGTGACAAATAATAATAAAAGTTAAATTTCTTAATTATTAAAAATTATATACTTAGTAAAGTTTCTGTAATATAAATAAAAAAACCAGTTGAGTTATACATTAATATTTGTAATAGAAAAAATTTGTCATATTAATGTTAGAAAAATACTAAAAAATAAACCCGTAATAGTAGATATTATAAACAATAATATAATAAACATAAAAAAAAAAGAATTAAAAGAAAAGCAGTATTTTATTATTATAGTTATATAATAATAGTAAATATAAAAAATAATAGTAGTAAAATAATATTATTTGGTAGCGATCCCTTTGGAGGTTTGCGGAGAAAAGGGAGGTTAAAACCATGTGGATAAATAAAGACCACATCTTTTGCACGTGAGGAAACGCATTAATAAAAAAACCATTGCTAAATTAATGAAAACTAATGAATAAACATATGCCAATCAGTTGTTAAATATTCATATCTAAAAATTTATGAAAAAAGTTTTATAATTTTTTTTTGAAGTATAAAAAAAGGTTTTTTTTTATAATAAAATTATAATAAAAATAATATAAAAAAGGAGGAAGTTTGCATAAAAATATGCTTCATTATTATTTTCAAATATTATTTGAAAATTGAGGCTGAAAGAAAAAATATATATAAATAAAAAAATAAAGACTTTAATATAAAAAAAATGGTAATAATTTAAAGAATAAGGTTTTTATAAAATATTCCTCATTATTTTTTTAGTTACATAATTTTCACAAGAAAAGCTAACAAAAAGTGCCAATCAGGTTTTAAATTTTTATAGCTAAAAGTTTATTATAATAAAGTTTCTCATTATTTTAGTAAAAAAATATTTTTTATAAAAAAAAATAAAGAAAAGTTTTTATTGTAGAAAACTGAAAATAATAATATAACGAATAACAAGGTTTCGTTAAAAAATACTTCATTACAAATTTTTTAATGTATTTTTTTTTAAAGTAAAAATAATAATGATACAAACCTTATTAGTAAAAAGATGGCGAAGATACACGTGTTGGCCAGAAGTTATCTTTTTATGCACATGATAAGTAAATATAATCATTATAAGTATATAAATTTTAATAATAATATTAAAGTAAAATAATAATAAATAATTAATTAAAGAAAGTTATAACAAATATTATAAAAAGTTATGATTAAATATACAAAAAGGATACTAAAAATATTTATAATAGGAAATTAACAATAAATAATAATAAACATATAATATAGTAATAATTAAAACATATAAATAAATTAATTAAATAAAATAATAATAGCAAATAAATGTTTATCATTATAATATTGAATAATAATTATAATACCTAAATAAATAATATAATAAATAATAATTAATAATGATTATAATTGAATGAACATAATTAATAATAACAGATAATTATAACAATTATTGTTATTTAATAAATTAATATAATAACTAATTGACAAAAATTATTATTATATAAAGAAAATTAAATAAAAATTATAACAAATAATAATGAGTATAATAGAAAATATCATTAGTAATTTAGTAATTATACAGTAATAAATATAATTAATTAGTAGTAATTAAAGAAGATAATTATAAAATATAATAATAATAAATAAGTATATAAGAGAAAATATTTAATAATTATACAATAATAATATATAAATAAATAAGATAATAATTATGAAGATATTGTAAAATTAATAAAATATTGATAACTAATAATAATAAATATACAGATAAAAGAATAAGAAACTAATAAACAAATAATCAAAACTAAACAAATAATAAAAATAAAAATAAATAAAGTGATAATTATTCAGTTAATAATAATGAATAATAAATGATTAATATTAAAAAATTAATAAAATTTAATTAAAAATGATAATCATAATTAAATAAATAAAATAATAATATAATTATAATAAAAAGTTAATAAAATATAAATAATAATAATAATGAATAATGAACAATGAATAATAAATCAAGGAATAAAAAAATTCAAGTTAGTATCATAACAATTAAATAAAATAGCAATAATAATAATATAATTATAATAAGAAGTAAATAAATAATTAAAATAAATAAAAATATTTTAATAGTAACAAATAAATAAAATATAATATAAAACTTTTTACCGGCTGAAAATTATTATTATGCGGATAGACGAAATTAACAACAAATAAATTGTTATGATCCATCCAAGAGTAGCTTGTGACTTGCTGCTGCAAACTTGAATTTTCACCAACAAAAAAAAGATGATGCGAATGTAAAAAGCGTTTAAAATATTCGTTTTTCAGAGTCAACTTTATATTAATAATAATTAATAATGATAATATTGATAAATAAACAAATAATAAATTATAATAATAATAATATATATAAGAATATCAAATAAATAAATAAAAAAAATTGATAAATAATAATTAAAATATAATAACATTAATAGTAATAATTATAAATAAAAAAGAATAATAAAGCAATAATAATAATAATGAATAATAAATTATAAATAATAATAAAAATTACAAGAATAATAATAGTAATAATAATATAGTAAATGTAATATAAAAATATTCAAAATAATAGTTAATGATAAATAGTAAATAGTAAATAATAATAAATAATAATAATAATAAACTAGTGAAGAGTCACGTAAAATATTATTGCTTTTCGCTTTCATCAATCCATTTCTGAAGTTGCTATTATTATTATAATTGATAGTATTAATAAAATGCATAATAATAAATTTTAGTATAATAATATATATAGAAAAAAGTATAGAAAAAGTTATATACTACAAAATAATGGCAAATTTATAATGATAATAATAATAAAAAGGGATGTGCTTATTAAGAAATATAAGTAAAAGAATATATAAGTACATAAAATAAAAAAAGAAAAAAAATTTAAATATAAAAAAAAGGAAATTTTTTAATAATTTTTCTTAAATAAAATAATAAAAAACAAAATTTTATTATTAAAAAAAAATAATAAACGTATAATTACTATATAAATAAATATAAATAATAATAAGAAGAAAACTAGTAATTATTAAAATAAGTATTATAAATATTATAATAATAATAAAATTTTATTAAAAAAATAATAAACGTATATATATAATTAAATAATAATTATAATAATATTATATAGATAAGTAATATTGAACAGGAAAATCGGACTAATAATTAATTAACAAAAATAATAGTAATAATAAAGTTGACATACATATCTAATAATAACGAATAAAATATATTTAATAATAAAAAAAATAGAGATAATTATTATTTATAAACATAATGATATAATAAAAAACATATTAATAATAAATAACTATAAACGGGAAAATAATATCATAAGAAACAATAATAGGAAAGAAAAATATAATAAGGTTATAGTATGAACGTTTTCTTTAAATAAAAAGTAATATTATAAATAAAAATAAAAGTTAAATAATAAAAAAGTTAACATAATAAATATAGTTATCAAGTTTTATTAAATGGAAACAAAAATATTTTTTATGTTATAAACATAATAAGAAAAATAATAATAATAGCTTTTATAAATAATAAATAATATGAAATATGGAAAACAGTCATAGTAATATTAAAGAAGATAATAATAATGATAAATAATAATAAGCATTGATTAAAAATAAATTAAGTAAAAATTAATTTATAAAGAAGAAGAAAAAATAAAAAATAAAAAATAAAAAAAATACGAAAATTTTATTAATATTATTCAACATAAACAACAATAATAATTAAGAAAATAATAATAATAAATAATAAATAATAAAACAGTAATAAAAAATAAACATAAACATAATAAATAAAAAAATAATAATTAATTCTGTAATTATGCAGAAGTTAATATTTTTTATTAGAAATAAAATAAGAAAAAAAATAAAAAATAATAATAAAATGTAACAAAGTTAACAATACGAAAGTTTTTATAAAAACAAAAATAGTAATAATTTAATTTGTAACTACTGAAAAGTAAATATTATTTATTAGCAATGAGATTAAAGCATTAAAAATAATTAAAATAAATTTAATAAAGTTAATAATACAAAAAGTTTATAGAAGTAATAAATAATATTTAACATAAAAAACAGTAATAAAAAATTATAATAATAAATAAACATAAATAAAATAAGTAAAATTACATAAATTTTAAATTTTATTTGAATATTAAACAAAAATAAATATTAATATTTTTTAGTAACAATAATAATAAATATTACATTTTCCTAATAATAATGATAATAATATTCTTTAGTAAAAATTTGTTTTTATATAATAATAAATAAACTTTTATAAAAAGTATTATGTTAATAATGATTAATATTTTATTGAAATAATTATAACTTTTGAACAATTTTTAAAATAAAATATTCTGTTTATTATTTTTCATTCTTGTTTATTTGTTCTTGATACTTTTTTTAAAAAATATTTTGTTTATTATTTTTTATTCTTGTTTATTTAATTTTAATACTTTGTTAAAAAATAAAATATTTTTTTTTATTAATTTTCATTCTTGTTTATTTATATTTTATTCCCGTTTAGTTCATTTTTTATACTTTTTTTTTATAAAATATTTTTATTATTTTTCTTTGTCGTTTAGTTTATTACTTAATTTCAAATTTCCTTTAGTTTTTTCTTAAATTTTCCTAAGAAAAATATTTTGTTTAGTTATTTTTTATGCCCATTTAGTTTATTACTATAATTTATATACATATATATTGTTTAGTTTTTTAATGCTATTTACTTTATGTCTATACCCTTTTTATATTAATATTATGATCCTTTAATAAATTTTTTTTATTATATATTAATATATACGTTTCTTTAAAATAATTATTAAATGTATATAAGTTTATAAAACGAACGTTTTCATAAAATAATCTCCCGATCCGCTATAAGGAAGCAGTGAAAAATGAATATAAAATACAGCAAAGTAGACTCCCAGAGGAACAATGACTAAAAATAATAAGTTCCAGTAGATAAGTGCAAAAATAGTTGAAAGCGGTTCGCGAAGGGTCTTCCAAAGTTCATATACAGCCTGAAGACTTTGCGTATTAAAAAAAAATTTATATTTTTTTAATTTATAAATATATAAAAAAATCTATATAAAGTATAGGATAAATTAATGGTGTTTTAAAAAATGAATTAAAAAGTTAATAGTAATAAAATTAAAGTTTATTAAAATATAAAATAATACTTTTATAAAAAGTCTATAAAACATAATAAATAGTAAAAAATAGATTACCCAATGAAAGCTGTAATAAATAAAGCAATCCACTTCGTGCTAATGCAGCAACCAAGAAAAAGGCCTTTTAAAAGTAACCAATAAAACCTGTTGAAAAAAAATTGCGATAATGAAAAAATTTTAACTAGTAAAAACAAATTAACGAATTATAAAAGGCTTCCAATTTTTTTTACAGTATAAAATTTAGTGAAAAATATAAATTCAAAATTTTAAACGTAACAAATATTATTTATAAAAAAATTATTCCCAGATTGTAATGAACAAATTAAATAATTTGAAACTGCACCAAATTTAGTTTAAATTTAAACAATAATTATAAAAATGTTATTTGTTCATTAAGGATACAAAATTTTGTTATTAGAAAAAGATTATACTAAAAAATTTTAAAATAACATAAATAAAAAATGTATGAAACCGATAAGTTACAATTAAAAAGTTATATATATATATATATATAAAGTAGTAATTTAATAATAATAAAAAATTTGAGGATAATTTCTTTTCTTAACACTTAAGATATCTTTAAGAAATAATTTAATAATAAAAATGTATAAAAATATTATTAAAGTTTATAAAAAATAAAATTAAATACAAAACAGTCAAAATGCTAATTAACCTCGCCATTTTCATGCTATCAATATTAGACAATTTAGTTAAATGGTATCTATTTATCTAAATGTAACCAATTTCTCCTAAACGGCCGATCTTTGTAGTTATTGTGCTTAATTTGGGCGTAAAACGTTAAAGCCATAAACAAAGCAAGAAATCCGTCCTACAAAATACGATTATAACTTTAGCCATATAAAAAAAAAAGAAAATAAATGACGTCATTTATAGCTAAAAATTAAATTTTAGCATGTATATTAAAAAATACTAATAATATTAAAGCTGTAATTTAGCATACGTATCAAAAAAGTAGCCTGCTTTTGTTGTTAGTTTAAGTATTAGCAACGTTCTGGTATCGAGCAAAGCAGAGCTACTTATTATAACGAGAAAGTGGGCTACTAAGATCCCTTTGCATTTTAAATAATAAGGGTGTGTTTTTTAGGCGAGATTAATTTGCATTTTGAATATTTGCAATAATTTATTTAAACTTTGAAAATAGTTTAAAATAATTAGCGAAAAATTTATATAATGTTTTTTTATGTGGTACTCTGCTAAGAATTAGTATATAACTTTTTTTTTGCAAGCTTTACTACACGTCGAGTAGTAATTTTATATATTTAAGGCCGGGATTTTTTTCCTCATGAATCCATAAAAGCTCTTAATAACACTATTCTCGATATTAATTTTAAAATTTCAAAATTTTTCTAAAAAAATTCATGAAATATAGGACATGAAACTCTCCCTCAGAGTTTTTTCTTTTCCAGTAATATGTTTATACCCAATCAACTTTTTTTGCAAGAAATGCACTTCTATGCCTTTTTTAAAAGTTCCTCTCCGAATTTTGAATACTTTTTTATAGAATTTGTAAATTTATTTATCCACTCTAAAAAATATTTATTCTTTGTAAAAGTTATTTTTGTTGAGAAATTACCAGTACTAATACATAAACAAGTTTTCATAACAAAGATATTCTCCTCCAGAAGAGATTGTAAGTAGTTTGTTCTCTTGAAAACCAACACTAACATTAAAGGAATTTTTTATATGATTATTAATAAACTTATAATTTTTTTTTTTACTTTTTCTTTTCCTTTTTATTATAAAAAAAATTAAACTTTGTAATCTTACATCCTTCCTCTTGAAATAGATAAGCTTTAAGATAGAATAGTTTTTTTTTGTCCTACTAGGCAAGAAGTGCGGGCAAGCCTAAGCGTGCATCATTATTTGCTTATAATCTGAACTTGCCTAACATAATCTATTTCGTCTAAAATTAACCTACAAATCAATAACTTTTTATATAGATTCCAGAAATTAAAAAAGGTTATTAAGTAGTTATTAAAAAAAACTTGTACGCAAATAAATAATACCAAAAATATAAAGCGGAATTGAGTTACAAAAGAATTCTCACATAAAACCATAAAAGCAGCCAAAAAGGCCGCCTGAAAAGAGCAACCAAGTTCAATTGCTATTAAAAATGAAAGTGAGACTAAAGCAGCGCCGCACGAGGAGGACATGACTCGAAGGGAGGTGTATAGGAGATTCTAAAAAAAATTTGAAGTTTAGCTATACGCTAGCCAGTTTTACCGTTATGGCGTTCATATTTAGTTATAAATAGTAATTTAATAATAATATGTTATTAAAAATTATAAGAATAAATTGATGGTAATAGAAATATAATAATAATGTAGATTAATAATCAATTCGTAAATTATTAGTAACATTAATATATTAGTAATAATACTAGTAATAATTATAATTTTTTTAATATATATAACCGCTCCTTCATAAGACTGCCCTATTCCAGTAAAAGAAAAAGAGCCGTCGTAGCCTAAT